ACTCGCGAACAAACTGTATCGCTCGTGTTTACTGTACTCGAGAAGTTAACCAGCACGTATGCGTGTAATTAAATTCCTACGAAAGGGAGTCAAAAATTTGAGCCGTTCGAAGAATTTTTAATTTTTCAACAGAATGGTTACAGGAATATCGAATAAAAATTTTTCCCCTTGAATAATATGCCAACTATTTCGACATTCAATTTTCCAAACTCTCTTTTTATCACCGATTTCATCTAATCTTTTAAACAAACCTGGCAAAAATTCTTGGATACCTATCGAAATCTCAATTTTAACTGCGTGTTCACGAGATTAACTGTGTAAAATAAAATCAAATTTCGGGGATCGAGAAACGTGGGGAAAAAATTCGGGATAAATTTGGGAAATAGAAACGAACGAAATACCATAACTGAAGTAACAAAAATGAAATAGTAGAAAGAAGAATTAATATACAGCGATCGAGAGGAATATCTGGAATTTAATAAATTTAATATCGTCGCGTTTGTTCGTTCGTTTTCTCCTCGTGTTTGTTTATTCGTTCGTCGCTTGTCACGAAAACGAAAAGGGACGAGCTGTCAACTGTAAAAGGGGGCGCATCGTCGTGTTTCACTGCGACAAACTGACAGTTTTATCGGTTATCCAAACCGGTGTCGTTTCCTCTTTTCCAGCTGTCTCTCCTTCCGCGCTTCATTTGCATACGGAAGGATCGCATTGAATAAGAAGCGGATCTTGCAGAAATTACCGTATCAGTTTACCCGCGAGTACCATTCCGGTCGCACGTCTCGAGCGAGGGTTCAGCCGATTGGTTATATTTTCGCCATCGAATATTTGCCACGTTTGGAATGCACGTAGGTACGTGTCTGCTTAAAAATCTCAGTTGGTACAATTACTTTTATGCGTTTATACTCCACAGGCACAATACGATTTATTTTTATTTTCATAAGATCCTTTGTTCGTTATTTATTCATTTCTGTAATCGTTCTACTTACAATTAAACGCGTTCGCTCAATTTGCATATTAAAATAACTCCTGAATTTTTTACCTACATTCACTGGAATAAAATTAACCCTTTGCACTGGACGACTTTTTGGCTAGAGAAGAGTAGAAATTCAAAGGTTCTGTACTAAAAGACTGATAATACTTCTTTGAGCAGTAAATAAAGAATTGTACAATAATAGAATTGAAAAATTATTTGATTTCGATATTTTGCACTCTGTTACATTACATTAAATTGGATATATTAATTAATATCGATCTTCCAAATTTTATGAAATGGTGACTGAAGCTCACCTCTCGAGTGCAAAGGGTTGAAGACATTGGGAGCTGTCGAGTACGAGTATGTGCATATGTGTGTATACGGGGTTGTGTATGAGGAAGTGTAGGTACGTGTGGGAATGCAAGAGAAAAAGAGTGGGCAATTAGGATGTTTCTTTTCGAGTCTTCTGGGGAGACATGAGTAATAGTTTTTGAGGAGTTTGTTTTTGAAGCTTTTAACCCTGCCATGGTGTGCTGTGAAGTGTCTTACGGTTTCTTCTCTCACTATTGAAATTCGTACTACCTTTCTCATGACGTCATTTTGAAGACAGTACAGTGGATGCTGATATGATATTGATCTTAGTAAGATAGATGGAAGACTGTCGACTATTTTTGTATTCGATTTTTATTCTCACTCTCCTGATTTGGATTCCATGGGTATATATGGATGATTTAACCATTTTGCTATTAGGGGTGACTATAGTAACCGGCCACGAGACGTCATCTACATGCGATGGGTGACCATAGTCATCGGTTACAAAAATTGAGTAAAAAATTAAGACAAGTGCTATCTTCCGGTTAGCTCTCTTCGCAAAAAATTGCAAGCTCTATTGCGATGGTCAGTTTTCCTTTTCTTTTCTTTAAAAGATTTGCATTAAATGACCGAATGCTAAAGATTGCACGATCGTAATGCTTCCATCTTTGACACGTATTCGCGGTAGCGAAAGGGTTAATAATATTTTTATATATTTGGAATTTGCTATTAACCCTTTGACTGTCAAGCAGAAGTCATATGTTTTGTATGATGCCACGGGAGAATTTTTATTATTCAAAGAGCTTCATTACAAAATGCAGCGTTTATCTTATTGGCAGTCATGGGTGACCACCGGTGGCGCCTTGGTGGCGGTTGGCAATTAACTGTCAATTTTTATAATTTTAAGTAGTTCAAGCCCTCCGGTCACCAATGACCACCGTGACGTCTTGGTAATGGTTGACAGTTAACTGTCAATTTTTACAATTGTAAACAATTCAAGCCCTCCGGTCATCAATGACCACCGGTGGCGCCTTGGTAATGGTTGACAATTAACTGTCAATTTTTAAAATTGTAAATAGTTCAAGCCTTCCAGTTACCAATGACTACCGTGACAGTCAAAGTGTTAATATGGATCTCAGTTTGGAAGGAATTCACTGACGACGACGACTTACTTGTTTTCCTATCAGTTCTTTCATTTTACTCCAGTAATGGTTGACAATTAACTGTCAATTTTTACAATTGTAAGTAGTTCAAGCCCTCCGGACACCAACGACCACCGTGATGCCATGGTACCGGTTGACAATTAACTGTCAATTTTAAAAATTGTAAATAGTTCAAGCCTTCCAGTTACCAATGACCACCGTGACAGTCAAAGTGTTAATATGGATCTCAGTTTGGAAGGAATTCACTGACGACGACGACTTACTTGTTTTCCTATCGGTTCTTTCATTTTACTCCGATCACTGGTCTCCGTTTATTTTATCAAATTAATCTACATGGCAAAATCTCTTCGTGATCGCACGGAACAACAGCAACCAAATATCACAGGCAACGTGACTTTTTATCATTTATTATTACGATTCAAATATTCAAGGTATTTTTATGTTTGCCGATTCTGCAAACAGGATCTCGCGTATTACAATTTCCACGTATCTGGATCGTGTGCAGGGAAATAAGAAGAACGGGTAGAATGGTAGTATCGGTGGAAAATCCGATTTCATTTGCGCATGTAGAGTTTTCGATACTTGTATTTAACATTTCATTCCCGAGGCTTTTCTGTTCTCTAATTAACTCTCTTTGATTTCCACGGGTCATTTCATCTTCCTATTTCATCCTCCTTTATCCCTTATTATCTCCATTTTATATCTCGGTAATTCTTTTTTCGATATTTAATTCAACGATTCACGGAGGTATATGATTTCGTGACACAGGAAATTCCAACGTACGAGGTAAATTTCCAGAGTCAGTTCGTCGACGTATCGTATCGCGAGATCGTTTTATCCGCGGACGCTTATCGGAAGACGAGGGAATTAATGAAATTTCACGACCTCGCGAAACTAAGAATCTACAATTCAAATACTGCTATTCTGCTTGTAATTCTAGTGGCAATATCAGATTTCGTATTGATTAATTCCAGGGAGTAAATTTCCACAAAGCCTGCCATTACGACTAATAGGCTGTAAATACACGCAGATGCGTGCGGTGCGTGGTTCATCGTATACAAGGTGGGCTATTTAACATGGTCACCTCTGTTGTTTCCGTTCTCCTTTGATCGTCTAGAAATTTTCTATTTTATTACAAATAACACGATTTCGTAGGTCTTCTTGGGTGAATTAAGTAAATTTTCAAAGCCAGCTTCAACTTTTATTTATATATTGTAATTCTACAATTTCCTTCTTTTATTTTTCATCATCCAGTGAGATTCGAAAAGATTTCAACGAGATCAGAATAATTATTCTGCTGTATTCAGATCAAATATACATGAAAATCTCGATGGAACCTTGAAATCAAGGATTTATTAAAATCCTTGAATAAAAAGAGGATGTAAAAGAAATTAAACGTCGTGTGATTGAAGAACCTTCGAAATTTATGATTTACAAAATAAAAAGGGGGAAAAATTTAATCGATCACGCGATGAATGAAATGATTTGTTCACCCTGTATATGTACACCATCTTCAACTTTCTACTCCGCTTTGTTCCTGTTATTTTACATTCGCAATTAACTACCTCATGCATAACTTAATGCTCAAATTCAATGACTCAAAGTAGAGTAGTTACGATGCTTTCGTAGAATATTGATTCGTTGATTAAATATATATTAAATATATATTAAATATATATATTAAATCGTGCCCATCGAGCATTTCACTGAATATTGTACAATATCCGAAACAAAATAACCTCTTGTTCAATTTTAGGGTTATCTTCGATTAAATTAAAAATAAATTAAATATACATTAATTTTATTTGACTAGAAATTTTTAAAATTTCACAAAACTTTCATTATTTTTCTTTTCTCCCTTTTCCTCCATTTTCCGAAACAATAACAACCTCTTGTTCAATTTTAGGCTTACTTCCCATTAAATTAGAAATAAATTAATTTTATTTGACTAGCGATTATAAAAATTTCACAAATCTTTCATTATTTTCATTTTCTCCATTTTCCTTATTTTCTCCACGTATACCAGCCATACTGTTAACCCAAACCTCATCATCCTCGTATTTTCGAATTAATCGTTCTCTCCTATTACAAAAGGAAATCCGTTAATCAGTCGACAGATAAATAAAAATATAAAACTGCGGGAAAGCAATGAATGCCGTCGAGAAAAATTTAATATCGACGTGCATTCTGCTGAATGAAATTTTTCGACTCCGTACACGCGACGAAAAATCTCGCGATATTATCTTGCAAATAATCATTAGCGATTGCACGATCGGCGAGCTCTCAATTTCCGCCTCTGTCATTAATACACAATCTTCGGGCTGGTATAACTCGACGTCCACCGGCTATCATTTCGAAAACATCTCGATACGTCGAAACCCACTGAGCGTTAATCGATATTCGAGGCATAGAACTTCACAGAAAGCCGGCCATTACGTCGAATAGGGTGTAAGTAAACGCGTAGGGAGCGTGCTGGATCATACATATGCACCGACTCGTGTGTATCCTTCTCTTCGATTGCAGTGAACTTGGATCACGAGCACGGCATCCCGATGCTACCGGTCACCATTCCCGAGGGTTCGTCCTGCAATTTAAATGACTGCGACACCCAGCAAATGTCTCTCGGGCTTGGCCAACAACACCGGCTTACCCGCAGCCTGGTCTCGGTTGGCTCCATTGTCTGCCGGATATGTCACACAAACACGTCCAAGGAGCCGCTCGTTTCACCTTGTAGGTAAATGTATCATCGATTAATTGATCGGTTGGTCCCTTTTGCGGTGTTCATCCGGATCATGCGTGCTATGGTCTTTCCTGTCGGTTCAGACGCTAGGGACTTTTGCGAGAATTTCCCCATACTGTCACTAACGACGGTATTCGAACCAAGGATGGATACAAATTTTCGAATTCGTTAACCTCGAACGAGGAAGTTCGAGAAATCTCTAAAGTCCTTAAAGGGGGTTTTAGAGTCGATGATTATGTGTCTTCGAGGAAAAATTTCTGATTTCAAATCTGGAGCCATCGGTCAGAGATTTTGAAATCGTATTTATCGATCGTAGTCGAATTAAACGCAAAGAAATAGGTACGTGGATAAGTTTAAATGGATATTACATTTTTTATTTTGTCGATTTTGTAATAAATAATTATACCAAGACAAAAACCGCTCCCGACCTTCGAAAAAAGTATCGTAAAGGTAGCTTTAATATTACGATGTGTACGTAATTATTCCCGTACTTTAGCGCTGTGTTTGCAAGCTGCTAATATAATTACGATTAATATTGTTATCGGACATTAAAAGCGAAGCAAAAACGTGTGAAAAACATTATTGGAGAAATTTTCGATATCTATGAACGATATAAAATACCGATATATCGTGCATACGTGCATTCCTATTTTAAGGCAATTACCTTTGAGTTCTACTAACGCTATCATCGCCATGAACCCTTGACCGGTTGACACACAGAAAAATTGAAAAATCGAAAAAGAGGAAAGAAAAAATAAACAAAATATCGTCAATCTTTAAACGCTGTAAAATTAAAAAACGAAAGAATTAAGGGAAGAAATGGAAATAAATCCAACGAATATAAGGGAGCAGTACCCCCGATATATTTTGCAAACCATTAATCGTTTAATCCATTTAAATACCACTTTATCCAATTTTGTTTCCTCCAAGCAAAGGGTATTAACTCATGGATAACAATAATAGCATTTAATAATTATTAATATTATTAACAACAATAATTACACAAGCTGCAGCGTACCTCGATTTATTTGAAAATTAATTACGCGGCTTATTAAAATGTACCGAGTCTAATTAACCGATATCGTGACAAGAGATATTCGAGATATTACATCCACGTTTCGGCGTTCACCGTCACGATCTTAAATGCTCTTCGAGGCCGTGGACGCCAGTGAGTACTCGGAAAAATTGCTCGCGAATAACACGGGAATATTCTACGTTTAATTACCCGGGCTACGTTGCGACGAGCAATAAAATTCCGATGAAAGAAAATTTAATCCGATCGTTCACGTAGATACCGCGTAATCGAGTAAATTCGTTAAGCATGCTTTTAAAATAGAAAACTCACTGCATGGTCGCACGTTAATATTAAGTATAACGGGATAAGCAAACAATTTTGTAACTAAAATTCCTAGCCGCAGAATGCTAATTAATCCTCGCGCCGGTCGATTAAGTAGCGGTTATTCCGTGACAAGTAATTACCATGGCATCCCATTAACATTAAATCGGAGTGACGTTGCTCGAAATTCAAAGACTCTCTTTCGTAATTACGTAATTGTTTATATCAAGTCGCTGTAGGTACAGACGAGACAGCCAGGTTCGTTTCGAGGGGTACCACGTGTCAAGCGTGACATGACCGAAAGAATGAACGTCGATTCACCGTGAACGCAATTAAACTGCGGATAATCGCGAGATCGTGACCCCGATATCTCGTCAGATATCCGTTCGACACTTTTTCAATCAAAATTTTCCCCAAGTTAAATGCGGCCGGGGCTATCTATTTCGAGGTCGTGCTTAAATTTAACTCCCCCCTTCCGGTCTCGTTCGATCGTGATTTAATGTCTCGCGAAATCCAGCGAAACTCGAATTACAGGGGTGTACGAATGCGGCAGGTTGAATTTCAGCAGAAAAGTCGAGTTTCATTAACGGGAACTTTTTAATACGCTGATCCCGTGGAAAATTTCCAAAAATTTTCCTTTCTAAAATATCAAATGCAAAAGCAAATTTATATTTAACGTGATTCCTCCGTGTATTAGTATTTTCCTCGTAAAAGAGGCAGGGGTGAAATTTAATCTGATTTTGTTATATTTTAATACCGTGCGAGTATATAATAAAGACACATAAACCCTAATTATTACTTTATCGAGATTAATTCGTTATTTAATCTATTATTGCTATTGGTACGATAGAGACGATTCGATTGTAGCGATTATCAGGTCCTGGTCATGTAATAATTATTCACTTTCATAAACAAAAATTATGGTTGCAGAGAATTTATTTTGTATCAATGATTCAAACGTTCTCTAACTCGATATTTCAGTGTTCCATCGAAACGCTATTTTTCTCTCATCATAGTACACGAATATTCCCGTTTAGAATGTATATAAAAGAATCGATTTCGATTTTATCTCTTTCCTGGAAAATACATAAGTACCCCCGCAAATACTTCTACCAACGGATATAGCTGAATTCGCAAAATTAACCATGTTATAATCTTCGTAACTTTCGGTCTCGTATCCTAAATTTTTCCTGCTATTCTGCATAATATCCTTTTCAGTGATTTGTAAGCTATGCAAAAGCGATATGTCGTTTATGCAAACTGGTAAACTTGGTTTTAAAATTGCAAGTGTAAAGTGCAGTTTGTAAATTCGTGAAACATAATCCTGGATCAGTGGATCAAACGTAAATATACATATTTGTACGAAAAACATTGAACGCCATTTTCTCCGAAGCACATTTTTCCAAATGGTTGCCACGTTATCATCCAACTAGGATTTCCGGAATCCGATATTCTTTACTATTTTTTTCACCTCGCTACGTATAAAGGGAAAAAAAGAAAAAAAATACGAAAAGCCGATAGCAATTGGCTTTTCAGTGCTATCAAATTTTTAGTATTTAATATTTTGAGGCAAATCTGTCAAGGCTATAGCCATATTTATACCGAAAAAATATTTTCTTCTTTTTCGTTTTCGATTAACCATACAGGTGAAAGAAAATTGCGAATAATCCTGAAATATAGAGGCTGGTAATCCTGAAAAATATTACCTTTTTAAATGAGATTATTCTCTTAACGATAAATCCGTTTTTCTCAACTATTTGATGAACTTCGCCTATTCCTCGGCTTTAATGATGGAAGAATGACGATTATTCGACATGCAATTTAAATTAACGCAATCGTTTCGACAGATACGAAAATTTAGAAAATGAATTAATTTTTCCGCGATTCTAGGATGCGGACCAAAATTACTATACCATCGTTTGTTCAGACAAAAGTCAAACAGGTGTCAAACACTTCGACGCCGGGACCAATCGTTATTGGTACGGATAAATCCTTCCAGGATTATACGCACAAATGTATCGAATTGGATGACATGCAGGTTTGCCGATAAACGTATACATTTTACGGACGCGTATTTTCACGATACTAAGTCACGTCAAACAGGCTTGCTGATACGTTAATCGCGTATCTTAAACCGCATCGTTACGTTTCGTCACGCGAACCGACGGGAGAACTAAATTTCAGAAAGTTAATCTAAATAATGCGATAAAATATGGTAAAATATTTGCAAATCCTAGCAATGTTCACGCGAAAATAAGTCTAGGCGAGAATTGGATGTACTATGCGTGACTGAAAAGAAGTCATCCGAGAAACTTATAGGACCGAATCCCCACCAACTCAAACATTCTAACGTCATAGCAGAAGTAGTATAAATCGCTTCCATTATTGGCAGAACTGATCCCTTCGTATTAGCCCGGTCATAGAACACCATGTGACAAAGAAAGCGAACGAAGCAACGAGACAAAGCGAGAGTAAGACCGAATCTCCACTAACTCAATCATTCTAACGTCATAGAAGAAGTAGAATAAATCGCTTCCATTATTGGCAGAACTAATCCCTTCCTATTAGCCCGGTCATAGAACAACATGTGACAAAGAAAGCGAACGAAGCAACGAGACAAAGCGAGACAGACGCAACAAATAGATGCAAGAGCGTAGACTCATCCCAAAAGCATATTAACTTCAGATTCTTCCGATGAACACGTGATTATTTGCAATTACTAATTACTAATTAGCATCTCGATTAACTTTTCATTGCATTACGCAGCAAACGTGCTGTACTGTACACATATTTTTTATATTTATGTTGCATCGTATGATTTTTTTAAACGGTTATCTAGTATGATGCAATTACATAATTAATTTATTATAAAAAATACATCTTAAATTTTAAATCAATTTTCATAAATGATGTTAATTATTATTACTTTTGTGCTCCTTTACCTTATAAATCTTCCGAGCTATTGTCATCTGATTCCCTATCCGACTCACTGTTGTGTATTTCCAATCCTAGGTCTTCAATTGCGTCTTCTATTATTCGAGTGTAAGAATTTTACGGATATCTTACGCCTATGTTAACGAATCACGTTACCGAACTTGGAGGTAGCAGTTTTGGGAGTGTCATAGAAGAATGGGTATTACTTGTGGAATACCTCTCTTGCCCCGCAATCTAACGAGATGACTTCTTTTCAGCCACGCATAGTACATCGGACTGGAGTTCAAAAGGTGAAAAGGCAGATGGACGCCAATTAACCATATCTGGACTAAGGTAGGAAATCAAAGATAAATTCGACGGAATGGTATTTTCGTTCGTGTCAGAAACGACGAAAGGAGGTTGACAAGAAGAAAATAAGGAGTGGTTAAGCGACTTTAAATATTCGAGAATACGTATTCTATAAATGACACCCAGTCTAGTGCCAAACATTCCTTTTCCTGCAATTGGGCGTCGACTAGGATCAACCGTTTTCGTTCTCTCGTCCTTCGCAGTGGTTCATATTCCCTCACGTTTTCCTAAAGATTTATTTATAATTGCTTCGAGCGATGTAGAGTAAATCAGTGTATCAAGCGACAGTCTCTATTCGTGCGGAAACATCACCGTAGACGTCGCCAATATTCAAAACCGTCTGCAACTCGAAGCTAGCTATAGATAGCAACAGCAA